CCAAATCATTATTTTATACAAAAATTAACCATATACAAATATAAAAATTAACCATGTACATGATCCACACCTTACATATTTACTTAACCAAAATAAAACAAAAATTCTTCATATCTTCTTGCAACTTCTTCTTCTTCATCAACCATCCAAAAAATATAGCGGCAACAAAAAATGTATCTGCAACCCGCAATCCTAGCTTTGACCTACAAAGATAGTTGAAGTAAGAGAATTAATGTAAAGCATTATAAAGGTACTTTGAAAGACTCTTCGTCTTAACTCAAGCAAAGCAAGTATTAATATGGTCTTAACTCAAACAAAGCAAGTTCAGTGTATCATGGAAATAATCCCAAAGCAAGTATTAACATGTACAAGTACTTTTGAATCAAGTCTTATGGTCTTAACTCAAACAAAGCAAGTTCAGTGTATCATGGAAACAAAACAAAAATTCTTCATTTATCAAATCTTCAAGTTCATTCACATTTTCTTCATTTTGATTCTCATTCCTATCTTCATTCATTAAATCTACATGTTCATTAAGATTTTCTTCATTCCTATGTTCTTCATTCACCAAAAGATTATCATTCTCATTCATATATTCTCCATGTTCACTTGGGCTACACATATAGATGGATAAAAAGAAGACGAAGAAAAGAAAAGAAAAGAAGTTTAATATAAGAAAATTATAAGTTATTGCAAACTTGTGCTTGTTAGAAACAACTTGTTGCTAGTGTCGTGACATAATCATAAACTATCCAAAATTGACAATGAGGCCAATTTTACTGATCAAAATTTTAATAAAGAAAAAGAGAAAAAAGAAATGAGGTCAATATTACACGCTTAAACTCTCAAAGAATATAAGAATGCACACAGAATTAATGTACTATAAAAAAATACTAAATACATCATACATATTCATATTTCCATAATTTATTCTCTAGTGGTAGATAATCAAAAGGATGCCATGACAGAGGTCACATGGTCTACGGACATCAGGAAAACAAAACAATAAATAAATAAATAAAAATAAAACATTTTTATAATTTCATCTAAGTCTCATTGTGGTGTATTAACACTCGTGATACTTAATACTTCGATATCCATACATTTTTAAGTGATCAATATAGCTAAACTTTGACAGGTTGTGCGATGCTGTTTTAGACTCTCTGTAACTGGCATTGGGGCCACCAACTGATAATTGTTTAGATAAAGATTTAGTTGTGTCCTCCTTTCAAGTTAGATAGTATTTCAAGAAACCTTTTGCGTGTTGAGCTGCAAAGAGTTTATGCGTATTATATACTATTTCGCAGATCAAGAAGCAATTTCATCGTGCCGAAATTGTTCCTATATGTAGGGTGGATGCGAGAGGTTTGGTTATTGAGGTAGGTTGCTACATCTGGTTATGATGAACGGGAATGGTATATTGTATTTGTGTCTAAAGCTCAACCCCACAATGATCAGGCCCCCAAGCTGGCCAAAAAAGTATATGCAAAACTTGAAGTTGATTTCAGCTCAAAGAAGAAGGAAAGGTAAGCCTACTGCTGCCAATTATATGGCTTCTTTTGTTTTTCTTAATTATAGATTGAGTTTAATTTTTGAATAATCTAGTTCACGTATCATATATCCACTAGATACTCTTCCTTTCAGAACAATTATCTTTTTCTTTTTCCCCTATGAAATTCAGAATAGCTATCTTCATTAAGATCTGAGTGTCATCATTTAAATTTTGTAAGAGAAAAATAGGAAATTGTAAGTGTCACTAAGTTACGTAAAGGATTATTTTAAAAGGTAATCAATTTTTAAAAACTTGATTTTCATCACTTCATGGTTATTGTCCTTTCAATCATCATCATCATCATCATAATCATCTTTATCTTATTCTTCTTTTCCTTTCCGGTGTAATTACCCCTTTCTATTTCATTGCATTTCTGCTAGTTCCCTCGTTCTGCCTAGATTCCTTTCAAATTGAAATGGCTCTTTGGCCTGGATCTGAATCTCAACAGTGTTGTGTTTGAGTCATCTAAAACATTTTGGCCCACGATTGGTACAAAAAGCATCATATTTTGACTAACATGATTTCATAAGGTTAAGGTCAAGGGTGATTTTAAAAGATTTTAATAAACTAAAGGGAAATATAAAAGGAGTACTTACAAAAGCCCCTTGTTCTCCCTGATGGTCTAAATTTTATTTATTTATTTATTTATATTTATATTTATATATATATATATATATATATATATATATATATATATATATATATTTTCACTCAAGTGCTGCAAATTTGATATACATGGACCCGAAGCAAATTTCTGGGATGACTTGGAATCCAAAATAGTGGAATGCATCAGGAACACACTTGACAGGCGTATTTAGTTTTATGAGGATGAGATTCGCAAGCTCAGTGAACAACGCTTCATGCTCATTTGGAACTTTTGCAACTTTTTCATTCTAAAGGTAGTTGCAGTGGTAAAACTATCTTTATAGTGACTAAGAGATTGTTATGTACGGGCACTTGGCTGTAAGGAGATATCTTACTTCAGTATTGTGGATTTTTTTTTTTTTTTTCTTTTCGAAAATTCGTATTGTGGATTTTCATGATCCCTGCTCATGTAAACTTAGTTGAATTATATAGCACATCTGGAGAAGTTTTCAACTAGAAAAGAAAGAATATGCCTCCCATTGAACATAGGTGGTGGCCGGCCAACTAACATTAACTCGTGCCCTCTCAGCCATGTGTTCATAATTACATAACATTCTTATTCAGAGTATTTTCTTTCTAGAATATTTCGAGTTATCTAGTGTTTTTTTTCTCTATTTATAGTAAAGCTTGGCTTTCATGTTTGAGATGGCTCATCTTCATGAAGATTCATTATGTGAATATGACGAATTGGAACTCTGCTATTTGGAAACGGGTGCTTAATGTTTATGTTTCATCTCTTTCTGCCGTCAATGTTTATTATGGTTATTCTAATTATGTTTCCAATTCCAATTGCTTCTGAAATGTAATAGATATCATTTACCTGTCAACTATTAATGGTGTCTCTAGAAATTTGACTGGTCTTAGCCTGTTTGTCTTTTATGCATATGACTTATGGTAGTTCTCTTAAGGGGAAGAAAATCCTTAATGACTAAATATGAAGATAAGAACATGTTCATTTCTCTGTCATTTGAAAAGAAGGATAGAAGCTTTGGAAAGTAATTATGTAGGAAAAGGTTCATCTCAACAAATTAAGGACAATAACAATGTCGGGATACATTTGCTAAACAAAAAGACAGAGATAGGTGATTGGCCCAGAACTAAGAGATGCATTGTAAACTAGAATGACAAAAACCAAACCCACTCTTTAGATTTATTGTACAACTGAAGAAAGAGCAGAGATTCACTAAACCACCAATAAAAACCTTAAAGATTGGCTAATCAAACCAATAAAACCCTAAATTCCAAACCACATTCCCCAAAATCAGAGTCAAGAACGAGAATAGAGGCGATTGGGGAGGCTGAAATTAATGATTTGCCCTAAAAAAATTTATATTGAATAATTGAAGAATGACTTACCAGGGCCTTCAGCTTGTTTAAGACTCAAATTCAACCCAAATTTACCAATTAGTCTTTCAAATCCTGCAAAGGGAGATCCTGTTTCACCAAATAGGATTTAGTTTGCAAAACAAGAATTACAGACCTTATTAATTGATTTAGAAAAAAAATAATAAAACAAAACCCATACATACAAGTTCGTAGCTGCAGAGAGATGGCTTGAGAGTTGAGAGACACCGGGACAGAGCCTGAAGCTTGCGAAAGGCGAACCCAATTGAACTGGAACAGCGGGATTTGGAAACTGAAGGATATGGGTTTTGATTTTGAACAATAATATATGATATGTCGATATGGGTTCTGATTCTTGTAGATTTTTTAGTTTACACTTGCAGAAACAGAGAGAGGGTAACTTCAGAGTAGAGAACGAGAATAGAGATGGAGGCGATTTGGGATGCTGAAGTGAGAAGAATGAGAATAGAGATGAGGCGATTTGGGAAGCTGAAGTGAGGAGAACGAGAATAGCGATGGAGGCGATTTGGGATGCTGAAGTGAGGAGAACGAGAATAGCGATGGAGGCGATTTGGGAGTGAGGAGAACGAGAATAGAGATGGAGGCGATTTGGGATGCTAATCGAAGTGAGGAGAAGATGAGGCGATTTGGGATGCTGATCGAAGTGAGGAGAAGCTGAAATGATTTGCCCTAAACTATGTGGTCTGTGTACGTGCGAGGCTATATATATTTATGTATATAAAAAAAAAAAAAAAAGATTAATTTTTTCTTTAAGAAACTAGCGGGAATAAAACCCGCCTTCTATATTCAATTTCTACCACGGTGCTCCACCGTGGTAGATTGAATTACTACCACGGTTTTCCATTAACCGTGGTAGAAAAAGCGGCACAAAGGGCGCGACCTTATCCCGCAAAAATTTAGTGAAATAACCTCACTTTCTACCACGGTTAATGGAAAACCGTGGTGAAATAAATTAACTTTCTACCACGGTGCTTTTATAACCGTGGTAAAAAATATAATTACTACCACGGTTTTAAAATAACCGTGGTAGAATAAACTTTCTACCACGGTTTTGAAATAACCGTGGTAAAATATAAATTTTCTACCACGGTTATTTTATAACCGTGGTAGAAAGTGTTTTTTACCACGGTTATTTTAAAACCGTGGTAGAAAGGGCGTGGTAAAAAACTGTTTTTCTTGTATTGGATGGTCAATCAGTGACGTGCCTTTTGACATTCTAGGGTTGAATAATCATCGTATCAAATATACCTTGTTAAACGCAATGGCTTTCTTATACATATTTGAAAGGGCAGCCATCAAACCTGATGTTTTCATCCCCATTACTATGTTGAATACAACATTGTGTGATAGTGTCAATCGAATGCCCAATAACGGCCATTAATGTGACTAACATGCAACTAAAGTCAAGATAGAAAGCAAACAGCCTCCCAATACATAGTCAGTAATCTAATTCAACACAAATCTCAGATCCATTTTGAATGAGCTGCCAAGCCCTTAATGCCTGCCGATCAAGAAGGGCCCAGTAATTGTCCTTTATCTCTTCTAGTTTCTTTCCAGAAAGAGGCTGATACAGTTTCTTCTGATACAAATAATCTTCAATCTGCATCTTCCATAACCCAAAATCTTCACCATTTGAACTTGTCGATCTTGATCTTTCCTTCTTCTGTACCCATCGCCCCCACTCGAACCTAATGACTCTAATTTTGAAATTAAGCAGAAAATAAGGAACAACATATCAAACACACATAAAAAGGACACACAAATTTTACTTGGTTCAGCCAAAACTAGGGCTGCGTCCAAGGATTATAAGGATTTCACTAAAAAAAAAAAGGGCACCACCAATACAAAGAGTTCATAATGAATAAACACCCTCGCACTAGAGCGACATAACAAGTTGGATTCACAGAGTTGGGCCTTGGTGTACAATATTAATTTATCAGGCTCCACACTACCCATCAGACTCCATATATTATTTAGGCCTTATTTACATTTTGTTACATTAAAAAAAAAAAAGTCTTATTTTTGGTATTGTAAGGAAAATTAAGGCGCGACAATAAGATAAAAGTTAGGACCTTTAAGAGTTCAAGCCCTTGGAGAGCAATACAAAAATTCTAATAAATACAATATATTAATTTTTGTGAATGTTTACAAAAGAATTCAGAATAGTATACCAAATAATAAAGAAAACTTACAGGTGAAAAATGGGCCTTATGAAATCTTAATAACATAATGGTAAATTCATCCAAACCTAGATTATATGTACAATCATATGTTATATATGAGTTGTGTGATTCATCCTTTGAAAATGAGCATTATGAAATCCTTAATAACATAATGGTAAATTAATCCAAACCTAGATTATATGTACAATCATATGTTTTATATGCCTCATATACGCGTCGTGATTCATCCTTTGAAAATGAGACGTGTCTCAATGTGTTTGTTTGAGTAAGAGACAAACAATATGCATTCTGACTTTTGGCCAACAATAATGGTAAATTAATCCGAATCTAGATTATATGTACAATCATATGTTATATATCAGTCGTGATTCATCCTCTGAACATAAGGCGTATTTTAGCGTGTTGCTTCCGAATTTTGCTTATCATTTTCGGTTATAACATATGACATGTTTTGACATATATATGTTTAGGTGCTAGTTGGATATTGCTGCTCATGTGGTCATGCTAGACGTGTAGGGCACTCCGGCAGCCGGAATCCATACATCGCCGTGAAGGAATTTTTTGGGAGTGAAACTGGAGGCTTCATCTAAAGTAATCTTCTTGATACCTGGCCATGTCACTCTCTTAGTCAGTATTGCACCGGAACCTCTGTTGTCATACTCGGCATACCAGAGAGTGTCAAGATACATATCACCATGCCAAGTGTGCCACCCTTTTGGTTCGATCAGACCATCAATATTCGAGTTCATAATAATGGTCCTCGAGAATTTCTTCCATGGTCGTCCGAGGAACACCTTGGCTGGCTTCCCAGAAGCCAGTAAGTTCACTGCAGCAGTGATGGTGCAGTTCTGGAGGACGATGGCCGTGGTCTGGTGGCGCTCGGTCCTTCCTTGAGCCGTGACCATGCACGCTTGGTTGTGGAGCGGCTTCCTCACCACCAACTTGCAGTTTTGGAAGACAGCTGCAGCATTGCCAAAGATGAAGTCGATGGTACCGGAGATGGTACAATCACGGTAGAACTGACGGTGAGTATGAACGTAGAGGGTATCCTGATAGCCGTGGATTTGGCAGTTGTAGATGATGGACATGTCGCCTGATACACGGAGTGCCACTGCTTGATGCATTATAGCTCCTGCAGTGTTCTCGATTCCAATGTCCTTGGCGATAAAACAGTCTCCATTTGCAGCTGCATCATTTTCAAATAAATACATTTGTTGATTGGTAATAGAGAAGTTATGAAACAAGAAGCTGTAAAAAGTGACTCCTCGATTATATAGACAATGCTACTTCAGCTAAAAGTCTTTGGCCGAATCTCTTGCATTTCATAGGATGCATTGTGTGATGCGGCCAAAGTGGATCCCACCACACAAAGCGGTTGATTGAAATTTTATGCCTAAATATTATTTTTCCTATATGTTTCAACAATTTTGGGTTGTTTGGAAAATTCAATTTCTTTACCATGTTTTTTTAAAAATTAAGATTTATTGTATTGATAAAAGTGAATTTTAAAATTTATTTTTCTTAAAAGATAAATGAGTAATTAGTACATTTATTTTTAATGATGTCAATGCTAAAAGATGGATAGTTTTGGAATGCTATAATAAAAAAATAGTATATCCATTTTTGGAAGATGACATGTATTTTAGGACATGGATAAAAATTTTGGGACAATTAGAGTAAAATGATAAAGGAAGACCCTAAAAATATCAGCATAAAATCTGCATTTATGTAACGAACCAACTAGGAAATGACTTACCAAGAGTTGCAGTTTTATATGTATTGAAACCGCTGCCATGACTCCTGTTTCCGGTGATCTTTGTTTTGGTCGCGCCATCTCCAACCAACACAACATCCAACATGCTCTTACTAAGCTCCACATTCTCCTGATAGGTACCTTCCTTGATGTATATAACAATGGTCTTGTTGATGTTCAAAGGAACATCCTTGAGGGCTTCATTGATACTCTTGTACTTCCCCGACCCGTCCTGAGCCACAACAATGTCCGGTTTCATCATCGCCGGAGTTGCTTCAAGAAGCCTGCGTTTCCCAGGACCAATCCAAGAAGGGTACCCATTGAAAATCTCTGGTTTTGAATCCGAAAGGAGCCGTCGCTGGCCAAAGAAGGGGGTCAATTGAATAGATTTGAGGACGGTGGAGAGTTTTGAGACAATGGCGAGGGCATTGCTCGTGAGCTCACCGGACATCTTCAACTTGGCCTTCATTCTATCCCCGGCATCGCCTGCAGTGTTCTCGAAGCCATCCATGCAAGTCTCCTGGTAAGTGATGGCTGCACTGAGCCATGTCTCGAGGTCCTCAAGATAATCATCCAATTCGCTGATATCAAAAGTATCAAACACGTGAAAACATTTCCGGAGATCGTCAATGGAGTCTTCCAAGAGCTCGTGACAGGTCTTGTAAGCCTCAACTACAAAAGGGTCCGTGACATTTTGGGGAGCTTCTGTGGACTTCATGATCACGCCGTAGAGTTGATCCACCGCGGCCTCAAAAGCGAGCTTGACAAGCTCTTTGGGGTCTCCGGTACCGGATTTTCCTGCCGGAGAGAGGCTGCTTTCACAAGTCTCCTTGTAATCTGTGGGTTGGCAGATGGCTTTGATTGCCATCATTTTGGTCTTGGGTGTGAATTTAACAGCATTGTCAGCCGCATTTTTGGCTTTGTTAATTTGGCTGCGAATGGCACCGATAGCGCAGGCCGACACAATTATCAATATGACAAAAGACACCACACAGATGATGGTCGTCGTCTTCTTACTAGTGACCATTTTTAACGCCAATAAAATATATATATATATATATGAATCCTCTCTCTCTATATATATGTGTGTGTTTGTATAAATAGAGATATATAGTCAGAGAGAATTAGGACTCAAAAAGAGCTATTGGGTCTCTTTGTTTCCGAATTCTTGAGCTCCTTGTGAGTTTGGGGACATGAAAATGGAGGCATGCATATATATATGTATGTATGTGTAGATATATGTATGTATGTATGTATCAATATATTATAGAGAGGAGAGAGAGAGTTGAGGACTGTTAGTGCTGTTAACAAATGTGAGGCTGGAAGGTGTCAACACCACAAACAGTTGTTTTCACTAAATTTGGAAGTGCATTACTGAATTTACTCTTTAAGTTCAGTCCTGAAGACAAATCATTCAATGCCTACCATTCAATGCCAAGAAGTGCAAACTAAACTGTTAATTTTTAGTACAAAAGCTTTAACTTGTTAATTACGACTAAAAGTGAACGGATAAAATAATAGTGATTTAGCTCGTAGACTTCTATTACTGTTTAGATTATGGCAGCTAATGTATGACAATTAAGTGTAAACAGGGGAGCCACCTCAATCTGTTTTTTTTAGGTAATATGAAAACGGATCGAGCTCAAACTTCTCTCCTTGATGTTCAATTAAACATTTAGATTTTTGCTTTCAGAGGGCCAAAACGTGTGCACCATAGTAAAAAAACATGTGCTTGGTTGAAAAAGATTCCCAAAACGTGTGCACCATAGAAAAATATAAAACAGAAAAAGAGACATGATCACAAGCGCTTGGTTGATGAAGATGGAAGCATACATTTATATCATATATCTAGGCCTTCTTTCTAATTGATAAAGGGAATAAGTTTAAAGGTATGTGTAGGTGCAAAATTTCGCTCAACCGATAATGATTGAAAAAAATAGAACAACACACTCAAAAAACAGTAAGAATAAATAAGAACAGTGTATAGAGAAGCGTAGAATTGCTTGCTTGGTTCCTTTATTGGAGGTCTTAGCCTCTATTTATACACAAAAGATTGTAAAATTATGGTAGGACTCGCGTTGCTTGCCCTCCAATTCTTTCTATATAAACATTCTTTACTAATAGAGTTCTTTCCATTGTCTAATTTTTCATACATAGAACTTGCCTTGTACAGAACTTCCTATCTCAGAATTTTCCTTCTACAGTAAATCCTTCAACTGGTAGGACTTGTGCATTCTTGAATAACTGGGCTGAACATATTTTGATCCGGCTGGGCTTGAGTAACGGACCGGATGTTAAATATTAACAAGTTGGGCTGATGACCTCTTGATTCGGCCTTGATGGAGGTTGGAGGACAAATAACAATAGTCTTGGGCTGTAAATACCCTCAATTTGGGCTTGAGCCTGATGGGCCTTATATGTCCTTGGAATGTCGATATGTGTAGTGGTGACGTGTGCGCTTTTGATTGGAGGGAGTTTTTTTTCCCTCCACACTTTGCCCCAAATTTCATTTTTAATTGAGTGACGGCTCCTATTAAAGAGGGAATTGAAACCGGTTTTTTTACTTTGCTTTAGAAACGGTTCAAGGTCTTTCATTATTACTCCGTCATACAAGATTTTGCAAGAGTTACATTCGCCCTTGCTGCACTTCTGCGTTCTTCATTCCATCGCTTTGTCAGGTTAGTTTCGCATCTTTCTCTTCAATCTTTCATTATGAGTACTTAATCTACTCTCGAACGTATAGACATTGGGGATTCTGAATCCACACCTTCATCTTCCCCCGTTCGCATTAGGGCTCCCCCTCCTAGGGTTTTCGTTGAATCCATTAGGTACTTCCCCTCTTCCAGCCGAGACATCCACCTCAGGCTCTGATTACGTTCTTACTCATGAAGAGAGGAAAGCAATCATCTCTATTCGCCGCATCAAGTTCTCTATTGCTTCGGTAATGGAAGAATTTGATATTCCTGAGGGAGTAGAAATTGCAGAATATCCCGAGGGTGCCGATTTTACCTCCGGCGAGGGAATTGAGGAGAATGAATTGCTTCTTTCGGTAGGGTATCTTAACGCCCTCCGATTCCCTCTTCATCCCTTCTATCATTTAGTTTTCAACAAGCTAGGTCTTGCCCCCCTTCAGGTAAATCCTAATTTCTTTCGCATCCTTTCGGCACTGTTGGTGCGTCGGAAATTAGAGGCTCAGGATTTGACCCTTGCCGACCTTCTGCTTACTTACAATATATCTAAGCATGGGACCGAGCCTGGTCGCTTCTTTTTTACCTCTCCCCTTCATCAGAGGATATGCACGAACCTTCCTTCATCCGAAAAGAAATGGAAAGAAAGGATGGTTATAGTTAAAGAAAAATGGTTCGTGTCCCAATCAATTACGCTCCCCATCCCGCGCAAGTTCGGGAGATTAGGTATAGAATACTTAACCTCCCTTCATACCAAGTGTTCTGGCTGTTTAACATTTAGATTTTTGCTTTCAGAGGGCCAAAACGTGTGCACCATAGTAAAAAAACATGTGCTTGGTTGAAGAAGATTCCCAAAACGTGTGCACCATAGAAAAATATAAAACAGAAAAAGAGACATGATCACAAGCGCTTGGTTGATGAAGATGGAAGCATACATTTATATCATATATCTAGGCCTTCTTTCTAATTGATAAAGGGAATAAGTTTAAAGGTATGTCTCATTCATTACATCAAATGAATAGGAATTTGATATAATAAATAAGCTCAAAGGTAAGTCACATTCGCTGTATAAGAATCCTTTGACCTAACAAATAGATTTGAGAATTTGGTCTAAATACCGTTATCAAGTAGCAAAAGAGTGGTGCTACATGAGAGAGAGTTGAAGTAACTAAAATTATTGAGCACTATTTTTTGTCAAAAATATAGTTGAAGTAACAATAATTCCCTTTAACTCAGTGAAAGAGTGGTGCTACATGAGAAAGAGTTGATGTGAGGTGAACTTGTTGCTTGACGTTTTGTTCTCACGTTGATGTGAGCTCTTCGCCTTTTCTCCATGTCGCACTTTCACCACCATCATCGTCACCCCACCATCTCGCACCCAACTAATGAAGAAAGTGTTGTGTAGTTAAATGAGTCCTACATCCGTAAAAAAATAAAGAAATTTGGGACTTATATAGGGTAATGGTAACTCAATCTAATAAGTTAACCTTTTGAGTTGAATACCCACAAACCCAACAACTGGTATCAGAGAAAGGTCCCCAGGGGGATTTAGCGAATCCCTGAGATTTTAATTCAATCTCGAGAAATTCATTCCGCTTGCATTTCGATTTCAATTGAAATAAATCCGTAAAGCAGAATAATGATGTTCATCCGGTTCCGCCAGGAATCAGAACCAGTCACGACTGTTCCTTAAAATGGAATTGGAACTAGAACCGTGTATGTCCTGGGACGGCCCTTTCTCTCATCATCCCATGGAATCGAACCGAACCGTTCCACGAAACCGTTAACTGAGGAAGATGAGCCGTGTTGCACTGTTGTAATATGTCTTGATAAAACTTGGTAGATACCAAAAAAACAGGATTTAGATCGTTAAAAAAATGAAAAATAAAATAGATAAAGAAAACATTATACTTTATTTAATATAATATAAATATCAAAATATATTTTAAATGCAGACTATTCGGGTAAATTGTATTCCCTCTATATTTAGAGGTTCCATTTGACTTGACAGTGTAGTACTATACTGTTTTTTTTCCAAAATTAGTACAGTACTAAACATACTAATTACTATATTGATAGTATACATTTAAATATAAATATATAATATATATACGGTTTCGATTCAGTTCGGCTCTCACGAATCCGAATCTAACCGTAAATGAACTCTTCCTAATTTTTAATTTCACGGTTCTTTTGTGCACCCTTACTTGTATAGGTTAAGGGCCACTCCACTTAATAGGTCAACCCTTTTGGGTTGAATACCCACAAGCCCAACAAAAAATAGGGTCGGATCTTCTGTTGGCCGGATTTGGAAATGGCCGCAAATTCAGTTTATCAAAGGTCACAAGCTTATGTTGCGAGGTTTCCAATCTGAAAGTTTTGGATCAAATTCGAATATGAACAATTCTTTGAAGCAATTGATCTAGCATCCAAATTGTGATTTTTTTAAATTTAGCCAGAAAAAATATCAGCAACTTATACACCCTACCATGGAATCATCAATTTTTAGCGGTTTGGAAAGAAAAGAACTCGTATCGGATTCGTGGAGATCATTGGGTGTTTTCTAGTTGTTTGTTTAAATGTCAAGCTCAATTTGGGTGCTTCATAAGCTGGCCTATTCTTTCAATCCCAAAGTTAAAACAACCACCTTCAGAGCCGATTCATCATCTGAGTCGACTTCAAACCTCAGTTTCCCAGCTTGCCTTATCACCAATTCAATTGATTCTATCACTTCAATAGAAACATCGACCAAACCCAGAGGAAGAACATCCAGAGCCGTCATCTTCGCTCTGATCACTACCCAGAACTGACCCGACACTCACTCCGACCTCATTAGCATCCACAACAGAAGCCCGTCGCGCGTGCCTCTAACTGAGACATTTGGCCCTCACCGGCGGTCTGAATTTCATTGTTGGCCAGTGGGTTAGTTTGAGATGGGCAACGTAGTGGTGATGGGAGGTTGAGTGATAGTGGCGATTGAGGGGTGGGGCAAGCGGCAGAGAAACGATGGCAGTTGTTGGGGGTGGTGGTATGGTTGGAGGGGGGTGATTGTCACGTCCTCCTCCGACGTGAACGCGGTGCTCCACTTGCGACAGTAGCTGGTTGCACCACCGTAGACAGCACGAATTCCCCGATCGACCCTGAATTGATTTGCTGACAAGGGTCTAGTTCATGGGTCCATGCTTCTCAACCACCTTTTAAGAGGAAGAGAGAGAAAAGGGGTGGTTCGGTAGAAGTAGTGGCAGCGATGGTCGTGGGTGGAGGAGGTCGTGGATGGAGGAGGAAGAGAGAAAAGGAAGAGAGGAGAGAGAAGAATTGGAGAAGGAAAAAAAAGTGTCTCAGGCACATGTAAAGGGTAAAATGGTCATTTGCCATTTTCGAATATTTTAATAATATAATAATAAGGGTAGCTGAGTAATTCACCTCAAAAAGAGCCCAAATCTGGAAAAATACATCATTTATGTAATATTACTAATAAAGGTCAGAGGTATTTCTTCATCCTATACAAGATTTTGACAGTTCCAATGGCCATGGAAGCAATGTTGGAGTTTTGAGCGTGTTGGATGTCTGTTCTTACATCCAATCTTTCATATGTAACGAGGAGATTCTACTTGAGATTAAAGCTGAGAGATTTCATACAATACCATCACATGTTAGCATTCAAAAATCAAATCAACTCGTTCAACCTCATCTGTAAAATACGGTAGGTAATACAAAACTACCCACTATTTGCTCTTGAACATTGGCCCAGTGATTCATATGACAATCTTACAATAACAATAATTCTATTATTGCCTTCACTATAATAGTCCGCTCTTATTTTAATTTATTTTTCTCACAGCGATGAATTATATCATTCCTTTCCACTTCGGACTATTATGTATTATTTGATATTGTCTTGTATTTTTCATTTTATTGTTCTGTTCAACAAGTGCTCTGCTTGTCAAGACTCCACTTTCTGAAAATTTCAAAGTTTTGCTCTCTGTAATTCTAATTTGGCAATGGTACCCAAGTGGACCTCGTCTGGACCATCTGCTATTCTTAATGTTCTTGCCGTAGCCCAGAGATGGGCTAGAACAGTATCAGAAGATAATCCCGCTGCACCATGTACTTGCATTGCCATGTCGAGCACCTTCAGCGCCATATTTGGAGCTGCTACCTGCAACGTAAAATGAGGACCAATTTGACAAGGATATCATAAGAATCGTCATAAATCAATACTAGAGACTTATACCACGATCTAAAGAACAAATTACAAATAGACAAAGATACCTTGGCCATCGCTAAGGTCCCACGGGCTTTTTTGTTTCCAAGACGATCAAGCTGATCAGCAGCTTCCAGAACCAACAATCTGGCAGCCTCCAGCTCAATTCGACACTAAAAGACAGAATAATAATTTCATTATCTAGATCATAAATTAATAAATGACGTTATAACGAATAGCTTTGAGTTTACTAGTCTTATGAGAAGCTTTTGTTTTCACTTGATTGCATTATCAGAGTAAAGCAAATTAATGCAAATTTTCTTGAAGTATATTATCTTTGGACATTTGCTAGACGTTTTATTCAAATTACCTTGGCAATATCTGAAAGGAATGAACCATGCTCAGCAATCAATTTTCCAAATGCTCTCCTTTTCAGAGCCCTTTGTGCCATCAGCTGCATACCACGCTCGGCTGCACCTATCAATCTCATGCAATGGTGCAACCTTCCTGGTCCCAGCCTACCCTGCAACATAAAAATTAGAAGTTATGTTTATTTGTGGATGTTTATGGAAGTTTACACATTCAAAATTCCTGCACACATTCAAAATTAGAAGTTATGTTTATTTGTGGATGTTTATGGAAGTTTTACACATTCAAAATTCCTGTACAGTCAATACAGGTTCAACTTTGTTCATTAGTAATGGAATTATTTTGTGAATTTTATAAAGATAATTGACGGTAGAGACCAACATTTGTTATACTAATCTCATAACCCACTAGATTTAGGTAGGCATTAAACAACTTTACCTGAGCTATCTCAAACCCACGGCCCTCTCCCAGCACAATATTCTTGGCTGGCACACATACATTCTCAAATGTTACTTCTGCATGCCCATGAGGTGCATCATCAAAGCCAAATACTGTGAGTGGTCTCTTTATGTGTACACCAGGAGTATGAATATCCACCAAGATCATGGATTGCTGTTTATGCTTAGGGGCATTGAAATCAGTTTTTCCCTGCATAATAGTCAAAAACCTGCCTTTAACTCCAGGACGTACAATATGAATCAACCACTTCTGCCGTGCCAAGCGAGAAGAACTAACCATAACTATAAGAAGCCTGCACCTAGGATCCATGGCCCCGCTGGTCCACCACTTCCTCCCATTGATGATATATGAGTCCCCTTGTCTGTGCAAGGCACACATGGTAGTCATAAACAAATTGAACAGATACTCCATCGTAAATATTTGTAAATTAGAATGATTACTGCAGTTGCATAAGTTAAGGAAATTTAGATGAAGTATGATTTCTATTCTGCGAGAGGTTTACTATAATTATAAGAGATTCTTGGCTTTTAAAAAAAAAAAACCATAAATTTTGATTAAATGAACCATTCTGAACATAGAACATTGGAAAGTTGATGCTTGTAACTACTATTCATAATTGCCTTACAAGACATGGTTTCAAAATAGCAAAATTTTGACTTCACATTAATCATTTAAGAGGGTTATTGTTACAAGGAGATCCGATCCCACACCTGATCCGGATGGAGAAGTGATTGGGTATATATGGGTGGGTGTTAACACAACCTAATAGCTTAAACTTTTGAGTTGGACCGCAAAGCACCAGATCCTTTACTGTTGGTATCAGAGCCAAACCCAATCCCTAATCCGATGTCATGCCAATCGCCAAGCTTGGACATGTTCGGGTGTCTTCCCCCAGGTAGATAGGGTGGTGGCCTAATTGCAACGAGGGCGTTGCAAGTTCAGGTAGGGAAGAAGGTTACGAGGAAATCCAATCCCACATCAGATCTGATGAGGAAGTGATTGGGTATATATGGGTTGAGTGTTAGCACCACCACCTAATAGCTTAAGCTTTTGGGTCGGACCGCGAGGCACCCGGCCCGTTACAGTTATCCTCTTTAACAAGGAAAAACAAAGTCTATAACAGGAGAGGAAAATATATATATATATAGATGACATTTGGAACATTTGTGACATCCTTTCAATTTTTGAAATTTCACATTTTAGTCCAATCACTTTAGGCACCTACAAAGATGAACTAGCTGTAACTTGGGGGGAAAACCTGACGGTTAGGAGTGAAAAAGTGATTTAAACAAAATTTACGGGAGACAAACTCCAGCTGGGATTTCACTTGGAATTTATTTCCTTATTTCACCAAGTCTCTTACTACTTCTTTCTGACTTTACCTTTCCATTTTAAAATGTTTGAAAGTTAAAGATATCAAGGATTCAAAAATAATCTATCAAATGTGCCCCTTAAGAGGTAATTGTCATAGCCTCCACCTGATAAGACGAGTAGCATGCAATGTTTCATGGGGATATAAAATTCATTCTCACAATATTCAACCTCTAAGTTCTCTAAAATTTACAGATAGGAGTAACAAAGTGTTATTACTGTCCACAAACAACCGATTTTTTTTTTTTGACAAGTAAAGACGATATAAAAAAGTGCTCAAACAACTGAAATTTTTTTTTTTTTTATAAAGTACAGAAACACCCCATGAGGTTTGGGGTAAGGACATGCAGGTGAAAGTTTGCCTATTTTTGAACAATCACACCCCTTGGTGAAATTTGCCATCCAAATATAGCCTTAAAACATGTGAAAAATCTATTTTACCCTCTGCCATTTTATTTATTTTAATTATAAAATATCAAAATACTTAAATGACCAAATTGCCCTTTTCATCTCTTTCTATATATATATATAGACACACAACAATCACCACCACCCCCAACCCAGACCCAAAAGCATCGCCGTGCCTCTCTCCTTCTTGAAGTGTGCCCCCGACACAACTTATACCGGTCCGCTTTCTCCTCGGATTCTAGGGCCACAGCATCGCCACCGCCCCCTCCCATTCCTCTTTCTTACGGGAAAACCAGATCCAAGTAGGAACAAGCCTAAGAGCCAACCAATAATCCATCAATGACCGCACACCTTTAATTGTCCTCTGGATCTGTTTAATTCAACCATCCATTGACTCCAATTCATCCATCCATAATCCATCCATCACACAAAAAGGGACAAAAAAAATTAATAATTTAACTCAATCCAATACAAAAGAACACCCACGAATGAATATACATATAAACTAAATAGATGTTCTGGGTTTCATTGGGTTGTATTAATTGAACCCCGAACATCTATTTGATTAGAATGTATATACTTATCAAAAAAATAATAATAATTGGGATGTATATACATAAAAATTAAATGGGTATTTTGTGTATTCTGGGTTTGAATCACAAGCTTGTTGCTGTCCTCCATTGTTAACGTTCTCTGGCATACACACGAGCTTCGTGCATCGCCGATCACAGCAGATAATTCCTTTCGGTTCATTCTCGCCAGGCAATTCAAGTGCACCGTGATGAATTGATGATGATGTTAAGGGATGATGATGTTGCGGCAGTGGGGCTGATTTGTGGTGGTGATGATATATGTGTGTGCATGTGTATTTTACGGGCAATATATATATGTGTGTGTATTACAGTAGTTTGGGTTAGGGTCTGAAAGAGGGAAAAAAGAAGAAGTGGGTAAGGTTTTTGGGTTTATCAAATGGGTTTTTCCCAATAACTCATTTAATCTTTATTTGATTCAAGGGTATTTAAGTCAATTGTATTTGTCAATTTTATATCAAAGGGCAATAAAGTCAATTCACCATTGTCAGAGTGTCTTTGTCCATTTTATCAAACTTGAGGGGGTGTGATTGTCCAAAAGTAGGACAACTTTCATCTACCTGTCCTTATGCCAAATCTCAGGGGGTGTTGGTGTACTTTACCTTTCTTTTTTTTTTTTTTTTTTTTTTTTTTTTTTTTTTTTTTCAAGAGAGAACAAAATCATAAAAGATAAGCAATGGTTAAGATATACCAAAAAGAGAGGGTTTCACTAACAAGCCAGTGGCCTAGAGGTATCAGTCTCTTACCTCCCAAAGGTAAGTCAGGGGTTCCAAATCTCAGAAGAGACAAGTATGTGTGTGAGTACCAACTAGGAAAAAAAAAATAAAAAGGGGGGGGGGGGGGGGGGGGGGGGGGGGGGTCATTCTTGTAGTTCGCATCAACCTTTGATCTTGCATTGCAACGATCCATACGTGTAAAATAGAGAGATTTTTTCACGCTTGCACTAACATGCATAATCTCTCAACATAAAACTCTCATAACCCAATAATGCACTTTTAAGTATCAAAATCCCAAGTGCATAGAAATTCCATTATTAGGAACTGTTAGAATGTTATATATATATATACATGTGTTGGGTCATTATGTAATTACATATAGTTGATAGGGCCCTTGTGTTATTAAGTAATACTTGTACTCTTTATATAAGCCTACATAGGCTTATTAGGTTTACTATGTGTTGAAATGCAAGAAATGGTTGATCTCTCTCTCTCTCTCTCTCATAAGATTTTGAACATGGTATCAGAGCAACACGATCATTGGTGTGAGAGTCTGTAATTGGGTTGTTCTTGTATAAGATCGGCATCGCGATTGTGGTGTTGGTGGTCTCTGCCAGCAGTTCCTTATTCGTCGCCATCATCAGCTAATCGTTCACCGTCGTCAGATCTGCAGGCACGTTCGTCACCGTCAGATCTGAAGCTTGTTCGTCGTCGTCTCAGCCTTGTTCGTCGTCGCTGACAGCTCCTCTTTGGTTGTCAGCGAGCTCGCCGACATCTACCGTCTCGATTTGCAGAGGTGAGGTTCGTCTTTTTTGGCCGGAAGTTGCAGCGGTCGCTGCTTATTGATTCGGCCGTTGCTTGTGATTGAGTTGCCGTCGCCTCCGCTGCGTTGTTCACCGGCATTTGTGAAGGTGTGAAGAAGAAGACCCATGTTTGGCTACACGGTTATGCTATTCCAACCCTGGTTTACTAAACCTGGGATAGCCCAGATCCGGCCCGTTTGCCCAGATCCGGACCGTTTGACCAGATCCGGCCCGTTTGACCAAATCCGGCCCGTTCGACAAGTTCGTCCAGAATACAAATTCTGCAAAAAAAATTCCCTTCTCTGTTTTACTGGATTCAACATGGCGTCCAGTTTCGATTTGCTTTCTCCCACGACCAGTCTTCATTCTCCCATGACTTCAGTTAAACTCAATGGGAAGAATTACATACTGTGGGCTAAATCTGTTGCAATTTTTCTCAAAGGCAGAGGTTTTGGTACTCATCTGACTAAAGATAAACTCAAGGAAACTGATGCTTCTTTTGCTACATGGGAAAAGGAAGATGCTCAGATCATCTCTGTGATGATAAACAGTATTGAACCCCAAATCAGTTCAACTTTACTTTATTTGGATACTGCCAAGGAGATATGGGACAGATTGCAGCAATTGTATTATGGGACAGGTAATATCACTCGTGTTTATGGGCTCTGTAAGCAGTACTTCAATCTTAAACAAGGTAATCACAGTATAGAAGAGTATTATTCCAAAGTTATGGGAGTCTGTGAGGAGCTGAATATGTATCAGCCCATTACTGCTGATGTTCGAAGTATCCAACAACAGCGTGAGGACTTTAATGTTGTCCGTTTTCTTACTGATTTGTCATCAGCATATGAGTCTTTTCGTGCACAGATTATGGGCAGTCCCACACTTCCATCTCTTGCTAAGGTGTTCTCTCGACTTCAGCGTGCTACACTTGCAAGTGACACCTCCAATTTGAATACTGGACAGAGTGGTGAGCGTTCAGCATTGGTAGTTTCAAAGGGTGAACATAATGCTTATCGTGGAGGTCGTGGGGGATGCTCTACACGTGGTGGTCGTGATTCACGGGGAGGACGTGGCCGTGGCAGGGAATCAAGAAAATGTACTCATTATGGTCTTTCTAATCATACTGTGAACTTTTGTTGGGACCTTCATGGCAAACCATCTAGTTATGCAAATCAAGTTTCCTCCTCTCCGAATGATGTTGCTTCTGGATCTCACACCGTAGCTAAATCAGACACGGTCCCTGTTCCACGGGATGAGTATACTCAGTTTTTGTCTTATAAGCAAGCATCTAATTCATCTTCCACGGCTACCTTTGCCCAGTCAGGTACTGCACACACGTGCCTATTGTCTTCCACTCGCAGTCCTTGGATCATAGACACTAGAGCATCTGATCATATGACTAGATGTTCTTCTCTTCTATCTGATTTTAATTATGTACCTCTTTCTCAAAGTGTTACTCTTGCTAATGGT